TACAACCATGAGAATGAAAAACCTGTGTGACGTTGTACACAAAACTTGTGTGTCGTTTGTACAACCATGAGAATGAACGCACAAAACCTGTGTGTCGTTTGTACAACCATGAGAATGAACGCACAAAACCTGTGTGTCGTTTGTACAACCATGAGAATGAACGCACAAAACCTGTGTGTCGTTTGTACAACCATGAGAATGAACGCACAAAACCTGTGTGTCGTTTGTACAACCATGAGAATGAACGCACAAAACCTGTGTGACGTTTGTACAACCATGAGAATGAACCACAAAAACTGTGTGACGTTGTACATCCATGAGAATGAACGCACAAAACCTGTGTGTCGTTTGTACAATCATGAGAATGAACGCACAAAACCTGTGTGTCGTTGTACAACCATGAGAACGAACGCACAAAACCTGTGTGTCGTTTGTACAACCATGAGAATGAACGCACAAAACCTGTGTGTCGTTGTACAACCATGAGAATGAACGCACAAAACCTGTGTGTCGTTTGTACAATCATGAGAATGAACGCACAAAACCTGTGTGTCGTTGTACAACCATGAGAATGAACCACAAAACCTGTGTGTCGTTGTACAACCATGAGAATGAACGCACAAAACCTGTGTGTCGTTGTACAACCATGAGAATGAACGCACAAAACCTGTGTGTCGTTTGTACAATCATGAGAATGAACGCACAAAACCTGTGTGACGTTGTACAACCATGAGAATGAACGCACAAAACCTGTGTGTCGTTTGTACAACCATGAGAATGAACGCACAAAACCTGTGTGTCGTTTGTACAACCATGAGAATGAACGCACAAAACCTGTGTGTCGTTGTACAATCATGAGAACGAACGCACAAAACCTGTGTGTCGTTTGTACAACCATGAGAATGAACGCACAAAACCTGTGTGTCGTTGTACAACCATGAGAATGAACGCACAAAACCTGTGTGTCGTTTGTACAATCATGAGAATGAACGCACAAAACCTGTGTGTCGTTTGTACAATCATGGGAACGAACCACAAAACCTGTGTGTCGTTTGTACAACCATGAGAATGAACGCACAAAGATTGTGTGTCGTTTGTACAATCATGATAATGAACGCACAAAACCTGTGTGTCGTTGTACAACCATGAGAATGAACGCACAAAACCTGTGTGTCGTTTGTACAACCATGAGAATGAACGCACAAAACCTGTGTGTCGTTGTACAACCATGAGAATGAACAATGCACAAAACCTGTGTGTCGTTTGTATAACCATGAGAATGAACGCACAAAACCTGTGTGTCGTTTGTACAATCATGAGAACGCACAAAGCTTGCAGTTCCTTATACTTTTTTGTTTGTGTGAATGTGTTGTGACATCACGCCATGGATACAGTTGTACTTGAGGATGCTCCGTAGCCAACGGGGTAAATTTCGTCGATAATTTGCCGAAAGGAGGTAATTATCGATACATATAGTTTGGAAGTGATCCTGAGATTTATTGTAAATTCGTGGATACGAAAATATACGCAAAATAACAGATAAATGACTAAAGGCAAAACCGGAAGTGCAAGAAGTAGCAAGAAATCGGCTTCTCAAATGGGATCCAACTTGGAAGAGTCCTTCAACGACGCATAGATGGAGGAACAGTATAACTTCAAGATATGCTCGAAGGAAGCAAAGAAGTACATGAAGTGTGATCGATGCCAGGACCTTTTCTGCATCAGATGTCTGGATTTGATTCAAAGAAATATGACATCCTTTCAAAATCAGATACAATGTGGTTTTGTCCACCATGCAGAATGATAGTCGAAAAGAATATTCTCACGGACAGAAAAATAGAAGAGAGGTGTAGGCAAATCACGCAAGAATTTGAAGATAGAATTGCGGAACTTGAAAGGGAGGTAAAAGGGTTAATCGCTAAACTGGAAATGAACTTAAAATATGAGAATTCTGCACCAAGCAAAGACGAAATAGTTGCTGAAATTAAAGAGCGAGCAGAGAGGGAAAACAACATAATTCTATTTGGAGTTCCGGAACAGTCCCATCATGACGGAAAGAGACGTATGGAAGAAGATGCTGAAGTCCAGTGACATAACCAATAACAGCCGGCCTATTCTAGATCGTTTTGAGTCGCAACAACCAAAGAAAGGAATCTTATCAGAAATACGAATAAGAAACGACTTAACACATTGTGAAAGAGAAGCAGAGAAGGCATTATACAAGGAAGCGAATCAGAAAGAAAACAATGAAACGGATGACTATGTATACCGTGTCCGTGGACCACCTTGGAGTAGAAAAATTGTGCGCCTTCCCAGAAACGATATATAAAGAGGAAACTTAATGTCATTTCAACTTGAAAATAGTGAAATGTTTTTGCTATTTAGCATTTAATTGGCTATACATATGTAATAACTGAGAATCTCAGACTTTTTATAGGAAGCATCTCCTGATTATCAGATAATTTTAGATATGGATATAGAGGCATTTGTTTTGCCTGCGTCCATTATTTACTTATTACTTAATACATTAGCGTCATTTTTTTGTTGTTCAATAAGTAGACTATATGTACAAAATACCTATCGTGATCGGTAGGATTATAATAGACCATGCATAGTTTTCTGGAATGACAAATCAAAACCATATCGAACGAGTCCATCGTTTTAACGAAGCGAGAAACAGCTACTGATAAAGTGAAAATAAGTACTGATGCAGAGTTAGAAAGCCGCAGTTTCGCATCTAAATCGCGGGTGATTGAATAATGTCATTTGAACACATACAGAATGGAAATAACAATCAAGCGCTATTTTAGAATATAAGTTTTCACGCTGATCATCAAAAACACATTCATCAAATATATTGGTTGGTAATATTTTCGAACAAGCCGCCCGTCCGACCGGAGTTATGCCAGACCGTATGTAACGTTGTATTTTGTACTTCAGAGATCGCCGGGCAACGCTCAGGTTTCCTTTCGAAACATTCACATATTGAATATAAATGTATTTTTTTTATTTTCATTTTTTTTATTTTTTTATTACAATTTTTTGTTTCTCTGTAAAGCTAATTTTCTAGATTCAATTAGCATGTGCAGTGCAAATGCTGAAAGCGAACGGAATGTTAAAGTAATATACAGAACGGGATAGGTTATATTCCAGTCCAACCCAGTCAACTTGCTTCACTACTACAAATATACATGTCCCATGCATGGGTGGTTTGAACAAGTTCCACTGTGATAACTATATGTGAATGAATTGCGATCAAATTTAGTTGCTTGGTGTGTTTTACTATCTTTTTGATCGAATATTGACACCATTTATTGACATTTATTAATAATTAACTAAGTATTTCCACACCGATTGTCCCAGTTGATTACGATGCGATCAATCGATTTCAAGAGGATTTGGTTACCCTATGCATTGTACCATCCCACCGGATTTAAGCTGTGAAACGTAGACTTAGCCATTGAAAGCAGGGGGTATAAATTCCGCGATATTTAACGTTTGAACTTACACCGTATTCATCGCTTCAACACAATGGCTGTATAGTTTATTTGGCAGTTTTTAACAATGAATCGTGGGCAGAACTCGGAAAAAATATCATGGTTTTTTTTTTACCTACCACCCCCTCCCCCTTTTCCCTTTCCCCATAAAATATATTTTGTTCTGTAACTTTGAGCTTTTCGACAGGCGGTACAAATGTACCGCAGGGCGAAATTTGTTCTTAATACAGAAAAACTGAGCACGTGTGCCCACGTGATAAACAACCGTATATGTACTGATGTAGACATTTTGTCAGGAACAGAAACATAATTGTGATTCGAATGTAATTTGCAGATATAACTTAAACAATTACTACACTCCACACTCCGTAGTCAACAAAACACGTTTTCTGTCGTAGTCCATAAGTGTTTGTTAATTGCGGTAAGTTTACCGGTTATAAATCATGCATGGCGATTCCTGTCCTCGCGTCAAACACTTGAGTTCGATGACGATCAAGTTTGCGCGCATCCCTCAGACAGACAATCGTTGCTTGTGCTAGTCTGCTGTTGGGAGGGTGCACACTGCCATGACCGTTTCCTGCTGTTACTGATAACACTAAGTGCCATGAAAACCGCACCGTCAATGACGTGACCAATGACATCCCCTGGACACAATTTTGTAAGTGGTAACCATCAGCGATGACCTTGGGAAGCTAACAGTCAAATCGATTCATCTTATCCTTTTAAATTAAACGTTTCTTTCACAACATCAAAGAATACTACTGATTACACATTATATCTCCGTATGTACACCAATAACGATATGCCAATATGACTAACAATGATATAACAGTATTATCCATTCCGAAACTCATTTACAAGAGGTTACCTTCAAAATATTGCAATCTAAGCGTGTCTGGAGAAAACAAGCGTAGATAAAGAGTGGCTGGTTAAGGCAAGCGAACTATAGAGAGGCTGGCGAAACCAACAATCAAGTTACCGAATTAGAGAGAGGTCGGCGTCGACACGAGTAGACTGTTTCGAGTTAAAGAGAGACAAGTGAAGACAGGGGTGGCGAAGATAGGGTCCTGATATGTCAGTTTATAATGTATTTGTTAAATCAAAGTAAAATAAATTGATATGTAAAATAAATGTAGAATAAAGAAACGAAATGAGAAGAAAATGTATAAATAAACTGAAAGATAACAGGTGCGTTGTTAGAAATAAATCCACTACACGTCTTTATCATTTAAAATGACATTTCTCGATTAACCTTCGGGAGTTATACAGTAAGTTCGTACATCGAATAAAGTCCTATACTCCTGGTTATTTCATGAAATATTTACAGTTAAGTTTTGCTTTACGTCCTATTAACGGACCTTTACAAAAGTACGTTTTGATTAAATGACTTTGAGGATAACTGCGATATTTTACGGTTGACCCGCGAGGTGCGCCGCGGATGAACGATTTTGCTTGACTCACTAATTCTTGAAATTTCATATCAATACGGATAAACAGCTTCCTGTACTTGTGTGTACAGCGTCTGTAAATTGTCTGTTCCTTCACTGGGTGTCAATACACAGATCGAGGTAAGTGAACTGATAAAACATGTAATATATTGTCAATACCTTGCAGTTTTGAAGGGCGCAGAAAAATTAAAAAGAAATTGAAAATGATATGTTGTAGAATATTTTTGTAAAATGTCATCCAAAGTCGCTTCACACAATACAATATACAAATATTTACCAGTTATTTTGGTCAATATTTGCAGCTTTACAGTTATTTTATGAAATTACGTACTTTATATAAAGAATTATTTATTAAATTTCTAAATCAATGTTAAACGTTGGACGACACAACAAACCACTTGTCGTGTAGCCTCAATATAAATTATACATTTGTATTCTTTGTGATTATTCCTTCAATATACACAATATAGTTGGCAACACTGGAAATAAAAATGAATTTCCATGAAAAGGTCATTATTATTTACAATTCTTGTATTTTCAGGAAATGGAAGACGGTCTCAAACAGAGTTTACTTAGAGGTTTAACATCGAGTCCGAAATACATACCTACTTGGTATAACTATGATGACGTCGGATCGGAACTTCAGTATCAATGTACCACAGATATACCTGACTATTACTTGTGTAAAAGTGACCGATCTCTTCTAGAACACAGGATACAGGTGCGTGTCATTTTACATTGTACAATATAAGAGTATACGGAAGTACATAGACATATCGTTGCGAGACCGGCAGTATCTTTTCATTTTGTGTGAGAGAAATATTACAAAATTCGTAAAATTGATGTGTGCTTGGGTTTTGATCATGATTCACTACATCCAATCATCGTCTATGAAAGTATGTCAAAGTTTTAATTCGTATTATCCTTAATTCTCGAAGTCGTAATAAATCGGGGAAAATCTTGACGAACTGTATATATCTATATAAATATACATAAAGCTCGGATACAATGAAGATCAGAGCAGGGCACGAGGTCAAAATTTGTCATTCTTTGTTAATTGTGTTACAGGGAAAAAATATCAATAGATTAACACAATGCATCATATGCATTCGTATTCATGTACACTTGATTATGTATAAATTTACGTTGCGATCCTGGTAATCGTATCACGTAATCAGACAATTTGCCACCGTGATCACGTCGAGAAAATTCCAGCTGTCTATTAGTTCAACTTTCAAACATCCTTTTTTGGGGATGTCGTGGTGGTGTGATAGTTGGAATTTCTTGGTGGGATTTCTTGGCTAGACGATTTAGTGCTGTAGATCGTGAGTTCGAGTTCCGGTCAGGACAAGAGTAAAACTTGTCCTCCTTCGTTAATTGTGTTACAAGGTTCAACCTTTATTAAATATAGGATATCATTCCAAGACTCCCGTATGATGTGGCCTTGGTTGACCTCGGAAGTGGAAATTGTTCCAAGACGAGGCTTGTGATAGACGAGTTACTTTCTAGACAAGAAACGGTTAAATTCTTTCCTGTTGATATTTCTGAAGGTATGTTTGTTGTAAAGACGACGCTTTTAGTGGAAAAAATAAAATAACCATACACATCACAGCACGTTAAATATGGCCTAGCGGAGTTGTAATTGGCTGAAAGGTGCCATCGTTTCCATTGTCCATTGTGCTATTGAAACTTTTTGCTGCCATATGCAGCGTGACGTCACAAAAAAAAATTATAGAATGAAAATATCAACAATTTAGAATCTTCAACTTTCTTTTCATTAATGTATATGTAAAGAAGTGAAGTTTGCATTCCCTTCCCTTTTAGAAGTTCGGCCAGGTATCAAAGACTAAATCTAAAGTTCTCATATGTATAAACTTGTACAAGACCTTGTATATCTGACAGTTTACAAACTAAAAATTGTTGTGCATAACTTTCCATTGTTGTATTTTTCAGAGTTTCTCTTGAAATCAGTCAAGGACTTATCAAAAGAATATGACGAGTCACTTGTGATTACTCCAATCGCTGCTAACTATGAACAGGGCATAGAACGTCTAAAGTAAGCTGCATCATTCATCACAACAGCTAAGACATTATAAATACATTTATCTAATAACGACAACAGAAAAACGCATATATAGATAAAGATTTCCAAACCTATAATTGTTCTGATATTGATATGTAGTATTCTGATTCTAAGTGATAAGAAGTTGGGAAGTGCCATGAAACAAAGAAACGCTTTCAACCAGATGAAATCCTGAGTTCACAAAACAAGCAATTGTCTTCTATTATTCTATTATTAATAATATTATCCATCCATCCGTCCGTCCGTCTTTCCGTCCTACCGTCCTTCCTTCCGTCCGTCCTTCCACAAACCCATCCATCCATTCATCCATCTCTCTCTCTCTTTTCTCTCTCTCTCTCTATCCCCGTCTCTGTCTCCCTCTCTGTCGCTCTCCCTGTCTCTCTCACAGTCTCTCTCCCTCTCTGTCTCCCTCTCTGTGTCTCTGTGTGTGTGTCTCTCTCTGTCTCTCTCACTGTCCCTGTCTCCCTCTCTGTCTCTCTGTCTGTCTCTGTCTGTCTACCTGTCTCTCTCTCTCTCTCTCTCTCAACTACTTAATCGACTGGATCAATCTCAATGTCTAGTATTCTGACCTTTCCTACGGTTGTGTTACAGACAGGTAGAAGGCCCGAAGATCATTCTGTGGTTTGACAGCATCATCAATCAATCATATGATGACCAGGTCAACACACTCCGGGTGATTTCTACAATGATGACAGGTCAGGTTCTATTTCTAACAGAAAACTCACACATCAGATATCATTGCTTATACGGAATACGGTTTCTGTGTGTTTAATCAAAACGGTGAAACATTGAACACTAATAACCATAGATTATTTATAAAACAGAGCGAATGTGTTTCCTTTATAGATGTTCCATATTGAAAATATATATCCTGAATGTACAAGAACAGCAAAACACTGTTTTAATTGCTTGTTTCCAGAGAAATGTCGACTCGTGTTTAGTGCTGACGTCACCGTTGATAGGGAAGCTGTCCTTAATGCTTACGACGACGACGCAGGTGAATCATTCATTTGTTTTCCCATTACCCGGTATAATGTTTGTCTTAGGAGTCAGGAAAATGTTGAATATCAATTATTTTTGACCAACAGGCTTTGCGAGAAGAAATGATCCTGGTCAATAATCAAGGTCATAGGGCTTAGATTTATTTATATGCGAAATCGACTTCTTATTACCGGAAAGGCTTAAAATAATAATATTGTGCATATATATTCTGAGAGGAAGTACATTGTTTGAGATAACTACCGACTTTGACCAATATTTAAAGTCAAATTCTCAAAGACGCCCAAGCAGCTCATTCTTAGAGATCGGAAAACCAAGAATCACGGTATTTAGATTACAGGTTCCTGGGATGGCATTTCACAATATATGCAAAACAAATGTTTTTTCCCTATGTTAAAAGTTAAACAGGGCAATTATGTTGAAAGTTTCAGATGATTTAGCAAGATTTATCAAAAGGCCTATTAACATGAAATAGGTTTCTGGGATAAATTCCGACAAATGTTACAGTGTAGGGTCGCACAACGTTACACGATGTGCGCACGGTATGCGCAAAACGTATGCATGATGGGCGCATGATAGGAAACCTGGACGAAATAGGCTATCGCACATTAGTGTGCACGTTGTACCGTTCCATCATGGTTGATGTAAATCTATAAATACATTAAATGGTCGTCTCTTTTTCAATCGGTAATGGATCATCTAAAATCTCATACTGTCAGAAAGGAAACTTTATTTTCATTACTTCTGTTTACTCTCATTTTGCTATCATTTTGTAAACAAAAATTACATACTCAGGTAAGAATGGCCTCCTCAATGTTGTGTCGTAGATTTAGACACATAAAAAAGAGGAAACGGTTGAAATGGTTAGATAGAGACGCTTACACACTGAAATCTTATCGAATCGCCAACATTTCAAAACACAAAACAGATTTTCTGAAACAACCGTTATTGCCTTTACCCGGTCGGGTGCTATTCATACGACCCAGACTTCTATGATCTACAACAAAGTCTGTTAAACTACTACCAGATCGCGGCAGAGGCTAAAATGCGGTCGACCCTCAATGTGACACTATCATCGTGCTAAATCGCTCCTCTGTCTGAAAACTCTCCGACAAAGAGATCGCAAAGGGATCACTGGTCCCTTTCCAAGAAAATATGAAAGCGTCCACCCTTCACGGTCGACGCACCACCAGCTAGAGATAAATCTACAAAACGATTAACCTTGTCAAGTACTGGAATAGAGAGGAAACGTTTAAGATCAGGAAAAAATGTTTCTGTTTCGTTAAAAGTTTTATCTGTATAAATTATAAAGGGTATTCTTTTGACAGGAGTGATGCAGCGATTTATAAGTTATGCGATGACCAGGCTCAACAAAGACACAGGAAGTGAAATCAACCTGGACAGATTTACGTATGAGGTAGACTTCGTATCTAACCATGACCCACAGGCAATGAGTTACGTCACAGCCTATATTCGTGCTAATGAACAGACTCGCTGGCCGATTCGTAAGTAATACTATTTACAATCGCTTGCTCTGTTTTAAATGTCTGGATGCTCATAACAAGAAAATACATGTTAAACTTGAACTCAGTCTTCCAATAAACGAAAATTTAAAATATAATAAAATTCTGTATCAAAACATGATTTTGAAAAACTTGGTTTAATTTTACAGCTGGACTTGGTATCGATCTATCAATGGAGAAAGGGGAATGTCTCTACTTTCACGAAGGTGCCGGGTTTAGTTGTAAATACACATTGGAACAGCTAGGCACTATCGTGGAGAAAGCTGGACTCCGACTAGTAGGATCGGTGTCTGCTGGACAGCGCCATGCCGCCTTCTGTATTTGCACCGCATCATGAAGCAAAACGAAGGAAATCTTGAAAATTAAGGTTTACCTTCGATATATCCAAGATTAAGATATAGTGTCTGTTGTACTAAGACGAAAGATTTTATTTTAGTTGGTACAAGAAGCTTTTGAGGTCAATATGGAGAAAGAGGAAGATAGGGAACTTACACCGTTTATTGTAATGTCATTTGATATACCAAAGCATTGACGCCATTTTCAAGAAACTACCTGTAAGTTTTGTATATTCTTGTTTTCGACTGTTACACTGTTTCAAATGTACGTATCTTTGATATTTCTCTACTGTTGCTGTTGAAATGAAATAAATGAGAAATCAAGAGATTTGTGAGAGAATAAAAGTCACAAGTTAATAGGTTCGTTCAATACAGATTTAGTATTCAGTTTTCAGACAATATTGACCTGGCCACTAGTTGTTCAGATAATGTTGATGTGGTCAATAGTTGTTTGGACAATTAAAAAATGATGTTTTACATCTGTAGTTATGTGTGATGTTTATCGAAAATACCCGGTCAGATGTACATTGTAGGTTGATTATACAAACAACCCTTAATCTGTTTCTCTTTTCGGCAACAAAAGGAAAAAATATAAAACATAGAATATCTGCTAATATTTATCAAAAGAACAGAGATGTGACCCTTGGTCGCATAAACTAGGACACTTCCTATCTAATCACTTGAACTAGATCATATTCTTGTACAACTACAATATTATGGAGGAGAGGTTTTTCATAAAACTTTCCTATCTAATATGAATACAGAGGAATCTTATTTGAAGTATCTTTTCCAGTGTCTCCATACAGAAAGTAGAAATAATTTGACAGTTGCCAAGAACGTTTAGAGTCCACAGTGTATCTTATGGCTAGACAATTTGCAGTGTTAATTGTTCAAGCTCAATATATACATTTTTTTTTTCGTAAAAATCATAACCTTTAAAACACTAAGAGTTATTTCCCTTTTATTGTCTCGGTTTCCGTTACACTGTAAAAGTTTTTGGAAAATCGGGTCCTGATTGGCCAGGCGCGTGAGTGTTATGTCTTCGTAATATCAAGTGACTGTACGATGTGTGGGGTTTGATGTTCCCTACCCTTGACAGTTTGTGTTCAGGAAGCTGAGAAACGAACATTTACGCCAAATTTCAATGGGTGACATTTGACGGGCGGCTATATACCTTGTTCTATGTGATGTCCACCGGCTAGCAAGACCACGTCGTCATATCATAAGTATAACTTCCCTTAATCACGCTTGTTTGATCGAATGGAAGCGCGCGAGAGGAAACATGACTTCCCAAGAAAACCCACATGATCGAATAAAAAAATAGATAAAAGATATGAAATTTTTTTAAAACTCTATAAAACCAGGACCGGAAATGTTTATCCATTAAACCACCGAAATATTATGGGTATTAAGTGTAAGTGTACTTTGGCATGTTGATACATTTATAATGTACTTTACTAATGACATATCAGTGGTAGAAGATTAATAGTTACTCTGTTAAAGTCATAGAAAATATGGTTTCCTCGCGGACACTCGAGGCATGTTTATTGTCTCCCTTTGTAATGTGACGTCATAGAACCTGACGTCATGTTGTGGCTGGAAACAACATGGCGATATGTCAACGGTAAACATAGTTGCTAGATCTTACAAAAATGGACTCGAAAAGACTTCGTCACAAGGCATTGAGAGATGCTTGTCAGGCGGAACTTTCGAAACAAACCCGATTTTTAGATAAATGGCAAACAGTCAACGAGAAAACCCTAAGGTAAGTAGATAAGTATAGGTCTTTGTTATACATTCCATATATTTCTGTTTTGGCGGGGGAAATGGCGGGGGAACTCGAGCGAGATTACAGAATGTAAACAACACCACAACACGAGCTCCATCAGAGAATGTAAACAACACCACAACCCGAGCTCCATCACAGAATGTAAACAACACCACAACCCGAGCTCCATCACAGAATGTAAACAACATCAGAACCCGAGCTCCATCACAGAATGTAAACCACACTAGAACCCGAGCTCCATCACAGAATGTAAACAACACCAGAACCCAGGCTCCATCACAGAATGTAAACAACACTAGAACCCGAGCTCCATCACAGAATGTAAACAACACCAGAACCCGAGCTCCATCACAGAATGTAAACTACACTAGAACCCGAGCTCCATCACAGAATGTAAACAACACCACAACACGAGCTCCATCACAGAATGTAAACAAATACAGAACTCGAGCTCCATCACAGAATGTAAACAACACCACAACCCGAGCTCCATCACAGAATGTAAACAACACCAGAACCCGAGCTCCATCACAGAATGTAAACAAATACAGAACTCGAGCTCCATCAGAGAATGTAAACAACACCACAACCCAGGCTCCATCACAGAATGTAAACCACACTAGAACCCGAGCTCCATCACAGAATGTAAACAACACCAGAACCCGAGCTCCATCACAGAATGTAAAAAAACAACAGAACCCGAGCTCCATCACAGAATGTAAACCACACTAGAACCCGAGCTCCATCACAGAATGTAAACAACATCAGAACCCGAGCTCCATCACAGAATGTAAACCACACTAGAACCCGAGCTCCATCACAGAATGTAAACAACACCAGAACCCAGGCTCCATCACAGAATGTAAACCACACTAGAACCCGAGCTCCATCACAGAATGTAAAAAAACAACAGAACCCGAGCTCCATCACAGAATGTAAACAACACCAGAACCCGAGCTCCATCACAGAATGTAAACCACACTAGAACCCGAGCTCCATCACAGAATGTATACAACACCAGAACCAGAGCTCCATCACAGAATGTAAACAACACCAGAACCCAGGCTCCATCACAGAATGTAAACAATACCAGAACCCGAGCTCCATCACAGAATGTAAACAACACCACAACCCGAGCTCCATCACAGAATGTAAACCACACTAGAACCCGAGCTCCATCACAGAATGTAAACCACACTAGAACCCGAGCTCCATCACAGAATGTAAACAACACTAAAACCCGAGCTCCATCACAGAATGTAAACAACACCAGAACCCGAGCTCCATCACAGAATGTAAACAACACCACAACCCGAGCTCCATCACAGCATGTAAACCACACTAGAACCCGAGCTCCATCACAGAATGTAAACAACACCAGAACCCGAGCTCCATCACAGAATGTAAACAAATACAGAACCCGAGCTCCATCAGAGAATGTAAACAACACCACAACCCGAGCTCCATCACAGAATGTAAACAACACCAGAACCCGAGCTCCATCACAGAATGTAAACAAATACAGAACCCGAGCTCCATCACAGAATGTAAACAACACCAGAACCCGAGCTCCATAACAGAATGTAAAAAAACAACAGAATCCGAGCTCCATCACAGAATGTAAACAACACCAGAACCCGAGCTCCATCACAGAATGTAAAAAAACAACAGAACCCAAGCTCCATTACAGAATGTAAACCACACTAGAACCCGAGCTCCATCACAGAATGTAAACAACACCAGAACCCGAGCTCCATCACAGAATGTAAACAACACCACAACCCGAGCTCCATCACAGAATGTAAACAACAGTAGAACCCGAGCTCCATCACAGAATGTAAACAACATCAGAACCCGAGCTCCATCACAGAATGTAAACCACACTAGAACCCGAGCTCCATCACAGAATGTAAACAACACCAGAACCCGAGCTCCATCACAGAATGTAAACAACACTAGAACCAGGGTTCCATCACAGAATGTAAACAACACCAGAATCCAGGCTCCATCACAGAATTTAAACAATACAAGAACACGAGCTCCATTACAGAATGTAAACAGCACTAAAACCCGAGCTCCATCACAGAATGTAAACAACACTAGAACCCAAGCTCCATCACAGAATGTAAACAACACTAGAAACCGAGCTCCATCACAGAATGTAAACAACACCAGAACCCAGGCTCCATCACAGAATGTAAACAATACCAGAACCCGAGCTCCATCACAGAATGTAAACAATACCAGAACCCGAGCTCCATCACAGAATGTAAACAACAGTAGAACCCGAGCTCCATCACAGAATGTAAACCACACTAGAACCCGAGCTCAATCACAGAATGTATACAACACCAGAACCCGAGCTCCATCACAGAATTTAAACAACACTAGAACCCGAGCTCCATCACAGAATGTAAACAACATCAGAACCCGAGCTCCATCACAGAATGTAAACAAATACAGAACCCGAGCTCCATCACAGAATGTAAACAACACTAGAACCAGGGCTCCATGACAGAATGTAAACAACACTAGAACCCGAGCTCCATCACAGAATGTAAACAACACTAGAACCAGGGCTCCATCACAGAATGTAAACAACACTAGAACCCGAGCTCCATCACAGAATGTAAACAACACTAGAACCAGGGCTCCATCACAGAAAGGAAACGACACCAGAACCCAGGCTCCATCACAGAATGTAAACAACACCAGAACCCGAGCTCCATCACAGAATGTAAACAACACCAGAACCCGAGCTCCATCACAGAATGTAAACAACACTAGAACCCGAGCTCCATCACAGAATGTAAACAACACTAGAACCAGGGCTCCATCACAGAATGTAAACAACACTAGAACCAGGGCTCCATCACAGAATTAATATCGGAACCAGTTCTCATTTTACTTCTTAACTTTCATATCAACTAAAACTTTTATATCTTTAGAATACAAGCATTCATATTGATCATAATATAATGCCAAGTCCTGTATAACTTTTTAATATCTATAAATACTTAAATATGACTACTCTTTTGTATCATATTAGTAAATACATTGTTTATTGTTAAATTCATAAAGTTGATAAATTTGACGAATGAATCTGATCAGTCAACTTTCAGAAATATGCTTTTCAGTTGATATATCAATGAAAAAGAAACTCATTGGCTTCGTTCATTTTGAATAAACTAACATTTAAATACATTGTAGCCAGGAGGAGGAAACGATGAGGAGACAACTGGAACGTTTGCAGAAGGACAAGGCAAGATTCTCATTGGAAAATGAAATGAAGGAGCAGGTAAAAAGATTGGAATATAGAATATATTAGATAAACATACATAAGCATTCCTATCTCCATCACTTTCTATACAAACAAGTATTAAAAGTCCAAACTGAGAGTTCAATATATAAGGATGTGCGTTCATCCTCAATACATCTAGGACGGCCTTCAACCCTATCTTCGTACATGATATCTAGAATAGCTCTCACCAATATGTTTGTACGTGGTATGTAGAATAGCTCTCACCAATATGTTTGTACGTGGTATGTAGAATAGCTCTCACCAATATGTTTGTACGTGGTATGTAGAATAGCTATCATCAATATGTTTGTACGTGGTATGTAGAATAGCTATCACCAATATGTTTGTACGTGGTATGTAGAATAGCTATCACCAATATGTTTGTACGTGGTATGTAGAATTTCTATCACCAATATATTTGTACATGATATCTAGAATAGCTCTCACCAATATGTTTGTACGTGGTATATAGAATAGCTATCACCAATATGTTTGTACGTGGTATATAGAATAGCTATCACCAATATGTTTGTACGTGGTATGTAGAATTTCTATCACCAATATATTTGTACATGATATCTAGAATAGCTCTCACCAATATGTTTGTACGTGGTATATAGAATAGCTATCACCAATATGTTTGTACGTGGTATATAGAATAGCTATCACCAATATGTTTGTACGTGGTATATAGAATAGCTATCACCAATATGTTTGTACGTGGTATATAGAATAGCTATCACCAATATGTTTGTACGTGGTATGTAGAATTTCTATCACCAATATATTTGTACGTGGTATATAGAATAGCTATCACCAATATGTTTGTACGTGGTATGTAGAATTTCTATCACCAATATGTTTGTACGTGGTATGTAGAATAGCTATCACCAATATATTTGTACGTGGTATATAGAATAGCTATCACCAATATGTTTGTACGTGGTATATAGAATAGCTATCACCAATATGTTTGTACGTGGTATATAGAATAGCTATCACCAATATGTTTGTACGCGGTATATAGAATAGCTATCACCAATATGTTTGTACGTGGTATATAGAATAGCTGTCACTAATATGTTTGTACGTGGTATATAGAATAGCTGTCACTAATATGTTTGTACGTGGTATATAGAACACGACAGATTGAAAACGACAGGTCAAAGAAGTGTTTCACAACCCTCACTATTTTTGCTACCGTCCCTATTATTTTTCATTTTGTTAAAAAAACAACAAAAAACAAAAGAAAAAACAAAAAAAAAACAAAAAAAAAAACAAAACAAAAAGCTTTTGTGTTGATTTAGTTCCGGTTTTGTTTCCTGACGATGTTTGTAGGTGATCCGGTTGTCAACCCTATTTTTTGAAGATCACTCGACATGAATGTATACGTCCTTAACATAAAGTTTACCCTGTATATTCTATCCAATCAGATATCTCCCTTTGTCGTTTAAGTACTTTACACTGTGTAATTTTGATATGTATCACGGTTTGTTGTTTTTCAGTATAGAGGAAAAAGGAGATTTTCGGAATATGACAGTCATAATGAACAGATGATACGAAGAAGCAGGTACGATGCAATTTCATAATGTTCTTCCATGATAACATGTGTAGGGGGCGGGGTTGGTGTTGCATAGACAGATATACTTATCCACTGGAAGAGCACGTATTTGGACTGATGGGTGGGTTTTGATGACGTCATTGATGTTTTTGGCTTTGGAAGAGTACATAATATCGAACTCTTCCTAAACCACAGACCTTGCATGATCAGAACCACTGACAGAACAAATCAATATTATTGGACCGTGTTTGTTGCAAACAGTTCTTTAATAGTTTCGGACGATTGACAGACTTGTTGCAATAATTGTGATATTATCTTCTATCAACAGTTTTTCCTCTTACTTGCCAAAGATAGCAGACAAAAGTAGTTTCCATTCAAACGAGGCACTTCTGAATCAGCCGAGAAGCCACCGACAGCTGAAAATAGAATCTGAAGCCCTAGCACAAGCATCCCAAAATTCACTCCAAGGGGTTCCGAAAGACTCAGTGACGAAATTTCCGAAGATTCATAAACATGGTAAATCTGATAAAAGGTTTTTGATCAAACTATGACATTCCTAAAATGACAACGTTCTGTCTACTGTACGTATTAGGCAGTTTGCAATGGACAACATATACATCAAGCAATGCGCAGGTTTTAAAAAAGGGCACTCATGACTATAACAGTTTATTGTCTGTTGAACTACCTATTCAATAGTTTTATATATTCAAATGAAACATACAACATTGTTATACCCTGTAGAATCAGTTCCTATATATTTATATAGAGAAAGAAATGTCAAAAGTTTAACTGTTTTGTTCACCGGTCCAAATGGACTGTTGACCGCTTTACGAAAACATACGAGTAAGTAGAGGTGTCGTTTTTATTATAGATTATCTATGTCACGATATGGCACAATCAGTCAATTATTTTCGCTATTTCGACATTTCAGAAGACAAGCACCACTTAACCAAAGAGCGGAGAAAATCTATGCCTGCAGGTTTGTTTTCCTCAAAAAAATATTTTTACTTTTTATTACATTCGAGCGACATCTAGAGAGTTAGAAGTAAAAGCAAAGAAAGTTTCAATTTCATTCAATTTTCTATTTGTATCAAATATCTGACAGCTCGGAAATAGAAATTTTATTGTCATGAAAGACACGTTCACATATGGCACGGAAATAAATTCCAGGTACTCAGATGAAAATAAGGAACATCACACAACGTGGTAAACTCATTGTAGTTTTTTAGATGTTTTTTTTTTTCTCATTTCTAGGGCATGTCTACCCCCGAAAAGAAAAGCAACAGTTGAGCGAAAAAGGGAAGAAAAAACACAGTACAAGTAAGTTATGTTTTTCATTTCATGGAGACAAAGCTGTAACAAGCGCTACTTAAAGATTAGTGACATCTTATATCAAATTTGAGAAAACATTTCGGAGTGAATATGTGTCTTCTGAATCTTGCTTTAAGTATGAAGTTTCACATCAACATTGAGTCAGAATGTTTAGTAAAAAGATGTTTTAAGACGAAGCATTATAAAACGGTGAATAAGTGTGAAGACAATTGTGATCGACACGCTTCGCTGAGAAAGAGGTCACTGAATACCGTTTTACGTCCGCCTGTCTGTCTGTCAACGACTGCTTAAAATATTAATGTGGTTTCTCAACGACTTACAACTCAGAAGGGACTGTTGCAAATGTATAATATTTAGCATTAATATTGAATCAGTTTGTAGAAATATTTTTATTCTCCTGTAAATATTGGTCATGTTTAATCTATGACCTCTTTATTAAGGCCAAGATTTAATTTCTTTTTGTACACTTATTCATTGTAAACTTTTTTAGTGCCGATGATTATTGTGACGGATATGACAAGTAGTCCGGCAGAGGACCAGGTTGTATTATTTCAAGATGACCGAGTCAACAGTCAAAGCGAGGCTCTAGGTAGCAAACATGCACTCGATAAAAACCGCCAAAGCTCAGAGAGGCGTGTCAGTCTACATGACCAGGATAGACATGACTTTAGAGGGAGTCAAAAACGCCTAGATCGGCAACAGCACAAAAGTAACGACTCGTTGGCGAGAGGGAGCCACCAGTACATTGATCACCATGATCACGTGAACGAAACAGAGGAACTGACGTCACTGTACGATATGGCAATACAGACGGTAGCTTCTGCACACGAATCTGCCTTTACCCAAGTCCAAGATGTTCATAGGCGCTCCATACCAAACTGGAAGGTAACTTGCAAATATGAAAATCGGACCATGCGTTGGATTTATCTATGAAACAATGTGCACACACTGTATTTGCACACTGATCTTTTGATTTACGGATTTACGGAAATGTTGACGTTTGTTATTTCAGAATCAGATGTGTATATTTCATACTTAACGTGTCTTCGACTGACTGTAAACAAACTATTATCATATCACAATACATCTCGAAACAAAGAGAATGCCATTTAATGATTTTATTCAAGTTGTCTTTTGGCATGATTCGTTTCAGGACGACACTAAATTCCCAGATGCAAAACAGATGGACCTGTCATCTCTACAGGAACTAGAGACCATGTTAAAGGATGCTCGCCAGTACAATACAAGGTAATGCTGAAGGGCGCTTGTCAGCGGCAAAACAAGCGACCAATTAAGTTGATACAAGTGTACAGAATACAGCTTAGAATTACGGTAGTTTTCAAAAACCCTTGCATCATAAATCATATATGTAAAATGTTTAGATATTGATGGTCGCATTTAGCTTCTAATGAGTCCAGTGATTCATTTTAAAATAACTTTCTTCTGCCTCATGATACTGCGCAATACTTTAAACGCCAAGTACAGTTTTTGTTCAATGGCTTTTCATCCACTGGTATATTTTTACAAAAAGAAGATATACAAAAAGTTGAAGTAGTACTAAAAATAAATCACATCTCCTATATCAACAGAAAACAGAGGGAAGGCGACTATGGTCTACATACTGCTGAGAACCGACAGCAACGCCGCCGACTTCAGTTCCTGGAGGAGATTTTACAGGCGCTAAGTGGCGAGCACGTTGTTGAATTTGATCCCATGGAGATGCTGCAGTGCGGTTACCTGAGGTTGTCAAAGTCCAACATAGACCGACTCGAGCATATGGTCCGCGATTTAGGTATTGATCCGGGTATTCATGCGCACAGTGACGTCTCAGATCACGATATCTGGCAGGAACTGCGGGAATTACGTCAGAACGAGGCTTTGGAGCGTGAACGGGAGCGAGAACAATATCAGAAAGAGGCTCATGGGAGAAGAAGCAGACAAAGCATGAGGAGAGTTTCTTCTGATATCAAGCAGCAAGTATGACGGGAAATAATCTATTAGCATATTTATGAGATCTTCACTTTTTGGATTTGCACTGAGACACGAGTCACAGCAGCAGATCACAGCTCTACTGTGATGTTGATATTGTCATCTCAACTGCATTATGCGATAATTAGAAATCCTAAAATAAAGTTTGCCGTGTTTGATATGTCTTCTTTCCTGGTAAATGAGAAGTTGTACACAATTTTATTTAGCACGTGGATTTCAACGCCACATTGCCAAACGTGACACAGAAGAACTGATGAAGATTTTCAAAACAGTGTATATATCCGTGTCGACTCATTATCATTTCAAACATACACCTGTAATTTATGAAAAACCTTTCTTTTATGTATAACGGCCACAAACTGGCGTTTTAAAGGAAATCTCGGGCAAATCATTATCAAATCAAATTCTGACTGTTTTGTACGTTTCTAGAATCATTTTCCATTGATTTTTCAAAGTACTCAGCATCAAATATATTTCCTATGGTCAGTACAGACGGACGGACTCCTGACCAATATAACCATTTTCAACACGCAACTAGACTCACGATATCTGATCCAAGCAAAAGGTACACTGTAAACTGGTAAAAAAGGCAAATTTCTCATTATTTTTTTTATTTATGTAAACCAACATATGCTTTTTGCATCTACCGCCAACAGATATTGAAATGAACGAAAATCGTGTGTAGCTACATAATAGGGACCGAATCTAATTCTCCATAATTATGTTGTGGCGCAATTAAGGCCGATCGGAAATCGATTTCAATGACAACATAAGTAGATACTTAATGGACATTTTTTCATAAAACATCATCTAACGAAATCTTTACTTATCTGGGATACCCCTTGATGAATTGTTTAGTGGACTGATTTGAAGAGCTGTCTGACTCGAAAAAGCCTGCCGAAAAGCCGGAACAGGTATCACGGCTTTTAAACCAAATTTCTGGAATGAGGTAGCTTTGAGTTCTTGAGAACAAAAAAAATAATGAACAACTTACTTTGATTTATCTAAGCACGTTGTTATTACAAAGTCTTATATACAGAGCATACGACTTAATAATTGATTAACTTAAGTTCACGAGAGATCAAAACTTTATTTTGTCACTGATAAAACTCGTTAAAAAACAATAAATTCATAGATATTAAAATAGCGCTTTTTAATACTTTATCTTATCCATATGTGGTTTCTGTAATTCTGTTGAAATGATAAAAATCTGATTTGTTGTTAAGTTTGATTAACGAAGATTAGAAATTGACAAAATGAAACCGCCCACAAAGAATGTAATTTATCATTTTAGGTCTAGCTCATTGCACTGCTCACTTTGTCCAAGTAGGAGATGGTGGTAAAACTTCTCATTTTTATATGGTTGTTTAACGCTGCGGCAGCTGTTGTTGAAAGTTCTGATCAGCAACTGTAGAACATTCTTAAGCAAGTCTTGACGTTGAAAATTGCTTTAGATAGCGTTATAAGTGGGTTTTGAAATCGAAATTTTGAGCAAACAGAAGAGTTTAACCGTCGTGGAAAATTTCCAAAACAAGATAAACAATTGCGAAAGAGAGAGAGAGAGAGAAAAATAAACGAGAAAAATGATCAATAATAAACGAAACAATGGCCAGATCTAGAGAACAGGTGGGTTGTTGTGCCGAAATGGCATAAACTAAAAAATATAAATTGTCTCTCCAGCATCCACAGCAGTCACTCCTTCGATAAATTGTTGGAACGACTCAAACACGGGTGTAAATATATCGTATATCTTAAAACAAAAACATGCTTATTGTATAATATCTAATTTCATTATTTTTCATTCAATGAAAAGAAGTTGAACTACAGCTAAAGCCTATATAAGTTCTCACCTACTGAAGGATTTACCTATACGTCAGTCGATCATAATAATTGTTTTTATTTCTGTCCAAAGGACCTATTTACGATAACAAAGACTTAAAGGTGATGCAGGCCGGATCTGTATACATTTGTAACTCAGTAGCTGACATCACATGAACCGTCTGTTGTGGGTACAAGGACTTTGTCAAATATACGATATACAACAGATACAACGAGGGAGCATGGCAACTTAAGATTGGTAAAACGTCAAGTTTTCCAACTTAAAGTTTGAAAAAGAAACTTTGAACATCGTTTGTCTGTCAAATTGATAAATATGTAATTTATGAATCAAACTGCTAAAAATATCGTATAACAATATCAGTTGTGCCCTGTTAGGATCTTATTGACAACAGAAAATAATGAATAAATGAGGTGTTTGAAGACAGTAAGGCGACGTCCTGGCTTGTATCTGTTCTGTTTATGGACACTTCTGCAATATCTAGATTTATTTCCTAGATATATCCAGTCCCCATTCACAGTAACAATCCATTTGGTTATTTTAATCTCATTTTTGACAACTTGTTTATATTTGAGAATCATAAATACCTGACGTTCCTTATGTACGGATCATATAGATGTGATAGGTTCCCGGGCGTTCCTTATGTACGGATTATATAGATGTGATATGTTCCCGGGCATTCCTTATGTACGGATTATATAGATGTGATGAGTTCCCGGGGGTTCCTTATGTACGGATTATATAGATGTGATATGTTCCCGGGCGTTCCTTATGTACGGATTATATAGATGTGATGAGTTCCCGTGCGTTCCTTATGTACGGATTATACAGATGTGATATGTTCCCGGGCGTTCCTTATGTACGGATTATATAGATGTGATGAGTTCCCGTGCGTTCCTTATGTACGGATTATACAGATGTGATATGTTCCCGGGCGTTCCTTATGTACGAATTATATAGATGTGATATGTTCCCTGGCGTTCCTTATGTACGGATTATACAGATGTGATATGTTCCCGGACGTTCCTTATGTACAAATTATATAGATGTGATATGTTCCCGGGCGTTCCTTATGTACGGATTATATAGATGTGATATGTTCCCTGGCGTTCCTTTTGTACGGATTATACAGATGTGATATGTTCCCGGGCGTTCCTTATGTACGAATTATATAGATGTGATATGTTCCCTGGCGTTCCTTTTGTACGGATTATACAGATGTGATATGTTCCTGGGCGTTTCTTTTTTAACGTGTTTGATTTTATGCTATGGATATTATGTTAGGAAACACTAACCGATAGACATAACACGATTGTCAATAAACTATCGTATTTGAACGAGCAAAACGACATGCTTAACTTTCGATCAATTTCCTGTCAACTTTTTCTATTGGTGTGTCCCGAGCAGACCAATATTTGTTGTCGTTTTCCTGCTTTTCAGAGTAAACTTTATACTTTATATCACATAGGAGTTTGATTATATTGTGCTATACTGATTGTGTTAATACGCCATTGAAACAAGTTCTGTACGATGTGACTCCTAACAAAGAGCTACATACAAACATTGGCTTCCGTTTTGTTTACATCCCATTAACACAAGTGAAATCGATCGCTACCAACAACGCCACACCGTCAGACACATTAGTAGTCTACAACAGATGTAGATATATTTGTATTACAAATACATTCAGTGATCGGGTCGATCACACTCACAATGCCTTTGTAGAATTGAAAGAAGATCGCCCCGCTGTATTCCACTGCATTACCACATGAGGCGTCTAATGTGGGACGATGTGTAGATTCATATTCTTTATCGAAGGACGGGTAATTTTTTATGGCGTCCGTCCAACCGTTAACATCAACTTATCATTTGAAATTAAAAGAAAGAATTAAACATTTATCATTTTAAAACTAATTCGAAACAGGTTTTACAAAGTTAAATCAATCACTCTTTTTGGCCCGCATAAAAGCGCACCTCTGTCTGTTCCGGGAATCGAACCCAAGGCACATAAGTGTAAGGTGACTGCGTTACCATTTTGCGTCCCCAATATTAATCTAATTATCACTTCCAGCGTTGTATGTTTGATCTGATTAAACCTAAACTTCCTAAACACAGTCATTATTTCTTGAACTGGATCATACTTAGTGTCACGCTACCACTTGAAAATCCATTGTTACTGTTCCAGCACCCGTTCTTCTAATCAGAAGTATTCAAATCTTGATAAAGTTTTCTTTTCTGGTGATAAGAAAAGCAAAAGACCCGATAAATCTAGCGCACGAAAGTCTTCTGTGTAAAAGAGAGGTCGATTAATATAAATTTTGATCAAAAGAAGCTGATAGCTTGTTTTGTAATTGATAGAAAATAGAGGTTCGACTGTATATACCATTTTCTTGTAAGGATGCAAAAAGAGGGCAAAACTTAAACAATCGTTAAGTACTATACTTATAGATGTATGTTATGTTCTTTATAGTGCTCTGTAACACTATGTCAATGTATGAGAATCAACTTAAAGAACAAGTCTGCGTTTCACTGTCAGAGTGGAATCGGTATTAGATGCACATGATGACAACGCTTCACCAGCATTCAGAAAGTTAGGATCACGAAACCGCTGAGGTACTGCACAAATACGCTTTGGACAGAGAACACGACATAGAAGACTTTTTTGATGAAAGAGGCGCTGTCTCGAGCGTGTGGAAGAGGAGGAAGTCGTTGAGGATTTACCTTGTCGATTACAATGACATTTTCATGAAAGTAACTTCTGGTTGCAGGTGCCCATACACATGCCATCTTCAGTCTGTTCAGATACATCAGCGTGTTGTGAACTGAACTTTACCTGTGAATTTTTAGCACAGAACAGCCATATGCGGCGAAGGACGAAAATCAGCTACGAATGGACAGGTATATCGAGGATGATGTGTCCGATTGTGGTAACTGAAGGCTCTCCATACCATCACGCTGCCGCCATCCCATATGTTATCCCGCAGGACACAACAATCGGCGTAACGTTCGTTACGTCGACGCCACACACGCAATCGGCCATCAGCATGGGAAAAATGGAATCAAGACTCATCTGAGAAAAGAACTCGTCGCCAGTCAACAAGACGACATGGTCGATGATGATTTGCCCATTGAAGACGTGAGGATAGGCCCTACGTAAGGACGTCAGCAGTTAATGCCATGTTCACGTAGGCGGCGCCGGACAATGGGCGTCTTCTAATTCTGATGACAGTTTCTGTTCTAGTTGTAGGCTGGGCCCGGTCACGAAGGTGAGTTACCCGGATGTAGAGATCTTGGGCCTGAGTTGTCACCCTTTGTCTCCCCGTCCGGGGACGATAAGAAACTGAACCTATATGTTGGAAGCGTCCAGCAAGCCTGGTGATAGTGCTAACATGACATCCCAAGCGCCTGGCTTCAATTCCCGCCTGCAAACTTTCAAGATCTATTCTTTTCTGCAATTGTGGCATCGTGTTTCATGAGTATTATTCACGCTATTTCCCCGAATGAATGTTTTTTTTGGGACAGACAACTTTTTAAAGGAATCATCTCGGCGAAAACTAAACTGTATTAGCAACACCCGTGATTGCATGAGCAGAATTCACGATTTTACCCATTGCGCATGTGTCGGTGTGAACCGTGTCGGGAGTGAACAAAAACATGCCATTTCATCATTTGCACTCAGATTTGAAATAGAGATTTAAAATCGATTGGAATCTGGTGTTACAAATCCTTTGAAATTACATTAACCGTGCTACCACTGTCAACAACAGCAGCAATCCTTTGTTTATGAATGAGATTGCAATAAACAGGAATTTCGCCATTGGGCCGTTGGTATTCATATCTTGCAAGTCATCTGAAGTACTATCACAATTATCATCTGTATTGTCCACTGAGTAATCTGAATTAAATGTCCCCGGGAACTGTGCCATTGGATTCCTTGGGTTGAGAAGTTTTCCAGCAGCTACTTACAGAACAACGCTGTATGGTCATTTTGCGAGTAAAGAAAGCTGACATGATGTGTCAAAATTGTTTTGGTGGAAGAGTGGACTCCCTTTACTACTACTAGGAACACTCTGGTTGGATGTGAGTGCTAATTTTTTAACTTGCAATTGAAGTTGTTGGAAACATAAATCCTTGTTGGTTCTTGCATTTCTTGATGCGACTTGAGTAAAGGTTGGCGGATATGCAGGAGGAAGGATGGGAGGTTCCGCTGAACCCTCACTGTGGTCCCGATATCCTTAAGTTTGCCCATTTTTGTTCAAGGTAGCATTTATATCCTGTTGTGAACCTGCACGAACAAAAAAAGCCAGTTCGGGTGGAAGACCACTGGTTAACTTCGATAAAATCTCGAAACTTGGCTTCCCAATTATCTCCCCTTTTTCAACTTTTTGGCAATGATAGAACTCAATTGGCTGACCAGGAAGAAGTAAAAGTTTGGAAATATTCTCAGACTAAAAGCATTGCTAGACTATTCGAATCCCCAATCAGAAAGCGCTGTTTGAAACGATGTAAGAGGCAGTCCCAAGCATCCAGGTCTGTCAGAGGACTGAACTATGTCATTGCAGGCCCTTTAGGGTGAAGATCGAAAGCAGCTATTTTTCGACTGAGATCATCCCAATTTTTAAACAAATCAAGCATAGCTGTAATGGATTAATGTTGGTTGGGGGCTTTCAACATCAAAAACATCATGATACAAACCAATATCCAAAGTCAATATAGCAGCTATACAGCAAGTTAGTGTGGAGGGCCAAATGTATGCATGTGTTCTGTTAATTAAAATCATGGATATACTTAGTGGTAACTTTCATAACAAAGTGTTCATGCTGTTACATGAGAAGGATCGATAATTAACAGTCGAATGGGAAGAATATTGTTTGATGCTTCTTTTCAAATCTTTCGTAGCAATAACAATATAAGCTCCCGGACATTTGAGTCTTATTTCTGTAGAAATGTTATAGTACGATAAACTTACATCTTTAATATCATCTGGTAAATTGTGTATTCCTCAACAAATCACAAGCAAAGAGTATAAAACTAACAAGTTATGTTGAAAAAAATCTAGATGATCGAAAATCCGGGGACCGGAACAACATGACTGTTAACAACAGCATCAGGAACATCAAAGTTAATATTCACAAAACGAGAATATGCCGTAGGAGACGGCTTCATGTATAACACTTTATTACAACTGTTATGTAAGTGGACCCTTGATATACAATGTAAAGTACATTTGTACATTGTGGCTACATGTATAGCTGTACATATATACTCAACAAAAAACAGTTTAATTTTGCAATCAATAGCCTATGATATTTTGGGGAATTTGTGCAAACTTTTATATCAATGTGAAGGGACAAGTCTAGAAGAAAAGTCTGTGTGACGTCACTCGTGTTGTCAGTAGCTACTCAAAGTGGAAAAACAAAATGACACTTCAGTACCTGGTGTGGGCACCTCTTGCATGAATCCCTGTACGGATTCTCCTATGTATTGAATTCGTGAGAATATTAATTTGCCTTTAGGGACGGTTCTTCCATTCTTATGTTAATGCTGCAATCAACTGGGCATGGTTAGTTCGGGGTGGGGTTTTTAACGTTGAGAAACTCAAGACAGACTCTGGCAGCATGCAGTCACGCATTGTCTTGCTGGAAAATTAGACCTGTATCGAACGGCATTGAAGTTTGGACCCAAGACCACTAAGGGGGATTTTACTCCATGGGAGATGCCTCCCCAAACCATTACAGAAGCCCCGCCGAATCTTTCGCGTTCAACCACGCATGCGTCGACGAAACGCTCACCGCGTCTGCAATATACCCTTTTTCTTCCGTCTAAGCGATACAGACATAATCTAACAAAATAAATCAAACTGACAGATCAGCATGCCTTGCATTCCCAAGAATTGTAAATTTCTGTTACCATTTCAGGTTTTGTCACGAAAGAGATATATATCTAGTAATGATATGATCCTATGAGATTATGCCTAAAAGAGTGGATGCTGTATAAGAAACACTGAACACTAGCCATGAAGCTGACTCTGTTTGCTATTAAGTTTGAGAATCAGCAATGGGTTTTCGACGCTGGCTGTGAAATCATCGGAAACATTATCATAAATTTGAAAGACTCATGAAAATGAGACATATGGACATTTTCTTAAATCTGCAATAGCGCCCTTCAGTGTCCTGGTCTTATTTGTAAAAATATTTTTAGTGTAAATAAATAAACAGTATAATTTACCACTTGCACTGTAGATACTTTCTTGATCAATATGCGTAAGCTTCTGTACTACAGTAGGACTGCCACTGCATGAAAAACATGTAGTAATTTATCATTATAACTCATCTGTTATACAGTGAATTCTCGAATATTTTTGCATACTGGGCACAAAAAGTTAGGGATCACTTTTTAAAGATAAATTTATTTGTATAAGACTTTTGGAATATGAAATACAAGTGAAGCGGAACAGTCAGAAAAATATTTCGTCCAACTTTGAATCAATTTCATTCAAAGGTGAGGTGTATGATTACATAAAAAGTTCAACCTCTCTAAAACAAAGTTAAAGTCCCAATGGCGCTGAAAATTCAAAATGCTCAAATGAGTTCAGGAACACTATCAATAGTGAATGTGTTCTCCATTGGCCCAAAAAATGAGGCGATAGGTGGTGCGTTACATAGTCTACGTATGCACGATCAGGTGAAGATCGAGTGAAAAACTAAGCCAGTCAATACGCTCAATAGTTTCTGTTTGAAGGTACTCACAAGTCTAGCTCTATGTGGCTATATATCGTCGTCCATCAGAACAATATCAGGGCCGACAGCACCTGCAAAGGTGTAAGTCAGTCCGACCACCAAAATTGACCCCTGTCCAAACCATGATGGAGCCTCAACCGAAATGTTCATGCTCAATGACACAGCTTACCCATTCCCTGCCAAACACGCCTCCTGTCATCATCAAAGTCCATGCGAAACTTGGGATCATCCGTAAAAAGAATAGGACGCCGCTGTGACAGTCGCCAATTCAACTCCTCAATGCTGCCGAGCCTTATTTTGACGGCGTGTGAGTCCAGGGCGTACAACAAATCTCTTAGTGCGTAATCCAGGACTGTGAAGTCTATTTCTCATGCTAAGAAATGTTTAAAACAGGATGCAAAATTACGGGACATTCAAACTTTCAATAAAACCACTATTGACTATTTGACTTTAACCCTGTGTTACATGATGTATTGCCGTACATTTACAAGGCAAATTGTTACCGAAAAGTTATTGTGCATACATTGGTGATAAACAGTGGTCAAAGGGTATCAAGCTCAATTTATTTCAATGGCAGAAAAAATCAGATGTATTTATAATCCTAAACTATTTGTTTTATTAAATCTTTCTGTAAATAATAACTCATACATGATCCTATTTTTATCAAGTGTTGGAGATATTGATATAGGGGTACCTTTTAGTGTCACGATATAAGTAATTTTCAAAAATTTGTTCTTGATTGCTAATGAGGAAAACGGTTCCCAGCAAAGGTTAAGAAATGAATCTTTTATTGGCAGATTTTGCAGATGTTAGTGCCAATGGATAAAACGTAGGGTGATCATTTCACCCCAGAGACCAAAAAACAGTCTAAACAATGGAACTACCTGGTTCACCTCCGCCAAAAAGGGCAAAGACTGTTTTATCATCTGGATAAGTTATGGCATCGGTTTTCTGGGATACTAATGGTATTCTGATAGTAGATTATCTGCAAAAAGGACAAACAATCAATGGTACATATTATGTATCTCTTTTTAGGTAGTTTAGGAAAATATCTAATCAAGCGCCTTGGTGTGTTTTTCAACCGGGACAATGCCCCTTTTCACAAGTATGCCATGGCCGCGGCTGTCATTAACGATTGTGGTTTTGAATTGATTAATTATTCGCCTTATTCTCCTGATCTCTCTCCATCAGACTTTCATTTATTAGCAAAATTGAAAAAAGGCTATTTTCGGTACCAACTTTCGGTCAGATGATGTCATATATACAGTGGAAGACTTTCTGAACGGTCACAAAAGGACTTCTTTAAAAGTGGCATTGAGGCTCTTAAACATCGCCGCCGGAACAGTGTATAGATACTGAAGGGGATTAGGTTGAAAACTAATGCAAAATGTCCGCCAAAAGTAAAACCCTTATATATGAGGCTCACAACTTATTAATCAGCCCTAGCAACAGTCGTGTAAGAGTTGGTTGTAATAACAGTCTACTTTGGGTATCAATGTTTATTAAAAACATTATCACGACAAAAATCAATGCTACCAAATGAAAATAAGACATACTGATGATACATTCACGGTCGTTACTAATGACTGATCAATACAACAACATGTAAGATATATATACATAATGCATTGTTTTCGGTAGATACGGCTGCCGTCGCTCTGGATGGTCATCTGACAATGGCCGAAATATTTATGGAGGCTTGGCCATGACATAAATTAGCAGATCATTATAAAGAATAAAAAGGAGAGAATGTAAAACATAATTTTGCAATGACGTTATCCTTAACTTCGAATTTGTGTATTTAGATATTGAAGGATTCCACAATGTGAAATGCAGACTACTTTTCTTTATTTGTTTACATGTAAGAACGTTAAAAACGAGATTTGAATGACTTTTCGCAATGAGAATTTTTACATTTGAATAATTGTACGGTTCAGAGTGTACACGTGCACCTGACCTGTTCTTTTGAAATCTTTACATATCAAGATTGCGAAATATTGAATTATAGGTCTGAATTATCGCATCATCTAATATTTTAATCTCTATCTATCCATTGGTTTCCTCAGTTGTCCCTTAGCATCACTGACGAAGCAACTTTATAGCGCCTTAGAATAGCAGTTCTTATAACAATCAGTAGAATAGATTTTGTACACGCTTTCTCATAGAGTGTTTTATTCTGAGGATGGACTATGATCATTCAGAGAGTCTTGTTAGGTTTCATTGCAGTTGCAAAGCCATAACCCCGATAATCCGCTGAATGCTTTCTGATATGCCTTGGATACAACGTATGACTACTTGTCCTTTCGTTTTTTTCTCGGAAGGCAAAGTATATTGTTGTAAACACATATTCTAGTGAAAATAGACAGATCACCGTGTCTAATGTGCTTCCTGATCGTTTTGTATAAGTACCGTGGACATACTTTCTGCAAGGAGTTTCGAGATTTGGGCACTCACCACGGCTTTTCTGCTACTGACATTGTAAATGAAACCAATATAATCTGTACAGTCCCCTATAGCTCGTAATGGATGCCTTTCTTTGTAGACATTGGATGTGCAGTATATTCTAGCTGTGTTTTCTGCACTGGAATACGGGTGCCTATATTGTGATTCAGTGATCATACGTTTTGCTTTAGGTTTGAGAAGATAGCTGTCAGGCGTCTTTTTGTACTTTGGATATGTTTGTTCTTCAGTTTTTCATGGTTTTTTTGTCACGACTTTGTTCTCATATTCGTCACTTAGGATTTCTACCGTTAAAATCATGACATGTCTCCGTTTGATATGTTGTGTAAGACACCTATCACTTGTGATCTCAGTGAATAAGATTCAGCGTAATTTTTACACGTCTGTTCTGACGCTACAATAAAATCAACTCGTCAGAGCTAGAACGCTTCACACTGGTCATTTGTCCTATTTGACCGTGTAGTCATCGAAACGTCGCGCTCTAATCTTCTTCTGGTTGTGTCATAAGAATTTCTGTTCTATTGACATTATCAACCTGAAGAAAATGTTTTGAAATAAGTCTGTATAGCAGTTTCATTTATTATATGGATATTTTTCATCTAATTTGTATTGGAAAGTGTCATTCACTTGTGTGATTTTACACAATCTTATGAAGTTTTGCTTTGCGCCCTACTGAATTCCATAGTCATTAAAGTATAATTGATTTTTTTTTTCATATATGTCCACTTTATTATGCACTTAACCTAATTGGAGTTCGCATATATGTGGATCCTTCCAAGCCATGGGAGTGTACTTCCCAGCTTTTGAAAAAAAACAATACGGTGGTTTTGTGTAACCGAGAATCTGAAAGTGTTTAATGTGCTGCGGTGTTTGACTTCGGCGACTAACATTGATTATATGACAGTTGAAAGAGCTTATTGGTAGTGAGATTGTTACTGAGTACGACATCTTTTTTTCAGCCCGATGGGAAAGACATCTTCGTCATGATGATTTTCTTGCTTTTGTCAGTCACTTTAATTTGGAATGCCGATGCGAACGGTAAGTTTATGTGTAAAGAGCATAAGATGTCTGTATTAACTAACACAAGAGTTTTTATCTAAATGTATGTTTATAATTGTTATATATCACGATAATAAACAATGCTTAATTGATATTTGTGAAGGTGTGTGTAATGGTGTGTGAGATTTGAAGTATGTGCGCTTTTGAAAATGAGGTTTATGTAGATATAATATTATAAATGAAGTATGATTACACGTATGAGTCAATCAGGATCCCCAGAAGTAAAGCCTGAGAAATTCTATGATGATTTTACCGTGTTTTTGTATTGCAGGTATTCCTAGTTCGATTAGGTTCACTCTTCATCAAATCTTGTACGACATGATACTGTCGGTTCTATCATCTAATGTAACTTCATTTAGCATAATTTGAAAACTATCATGAATATCATAAAAAAAAATTCATATCTTATTATTTTAACCTAAATGTGCGAAAAACATGTAATTTCAATAAGGGAACTATGTCCATATTTTTTTTAATGAATACAACATACACATTATTGCTAATTTGATATAGAACGTCTTTAAGTCTAACGCACCTACCAGCTGAATATTATATTCATGCCGGAGTTACATCTATATAGAAGCGGATACAGATAGAGCCAATATCATTTTCAATCTTGTATTACTACAACAAATATACTGTATACATTTTGTTTACTTACGTTACGAAAAAAGGAAGATATACAAATTGATGTAATATATGGTGACGATAACTTCCCCTTCTTTAATTCAGAACAGTCAGAGAAACTCTCCAATGTCATTGTTTTTTTCGGGAATTTTTATTGTCGCCAAAATAATCTCAAAGGGAAATATCTAATATTCTGGTGCCATATCATGTGTGCAGTACTTCTTAAACACGATAGTTTTGTTTCTCGGAACAAATTTCGACAGTGTTTTATTGCAATAATTGACCAAGATTCAAATGACGGATGGTTTTGATGATTCTAGAGACTTTTATTCTTCCCGGTCCTTGGGGTGTTTTTCCCCATCGTACTTTTACTTGATTTTCCTTTACATCATTTGGAGTTATTTTATTATCAAATCGGATTTTTTTTTTTTTTTTTTTTTGACCTCCAAATTTTCATCTATTAGTCTTAGGAACATTTAAACAATAACAATTAATCAATCATGGAATATAAACGTTAATCAATCAATTTAAATCAATATATAGGCGGAAATAATGGTATATTACCTTATATATTATCTTGTTTATTTAGGTAGTGTGTAATGATAAATGAAGCAAGCTCCCTCTACCATATTCACGATTTTGTGGAATGTTTGATGTTCTGAATAAATCATTTGATGGTTAATGACAAATCACGTAAGTAGTGTCGGGGTACACGAATAAGTGATGAAAATTCAAAAAAGGAAAGAAATTGACCTAATGGGAATACCTTGTGGTCGCAAAAATCAAGTCTGATACAACAAGAATATGTATATGTAGTGTTTGTACTATTGAATAGCATACTAATGAGCATATTCTTACTACAGCGCTGGAGAAGTTAACATAATAAACAAGCACCTTTGGTGTTTGCAATAGCAGCGCAAAGACCGCGTAACCTTCAACTCATGAACCTAGTATATGACCTTTATCAATCTTATTTTTTCCTGTGGTTATGATGGGATGGGTGACAGGCTGTCCAGCGTTATATGAAGCCCATCCGGAGTACCTCAACCTGTGTTTACACATATCCAGCATCTCATATCCATGGCACCAGGCAGCGTGTCCTTATAACGGCAGTCTCGCCCTACCATACAACAGCCTCATACATGACTTCATAATCACTTTACTAGATGTGTGAGTTTTTGGGATTCATTTTCTTGGTATAAACTTGTCGATTTATTGCTTATCACTTTGTCTCTGTGAGTAATCTAAGCATTCGTTATATTTATTGAATGAGGAAATTTATATTAATATGCAATAATAATGGTATTGTCTCAATGTATGAAGTTGTGTGTATTTTAACTTTAATAAAAGGTCCTTTATTGAACACAAACTTATTTTACAATTTGAGAGTAATGGGATTCCTCCACATTGTGTGTGGTATACAGACGATTGGTTCTATTATCGAGGACATTCCTTTCACTTGCTTTGGAAAAACATATATCTTAATATACACAAGTTTTGGATTTATTATCTTAAACTATTACTTTTAAATGTGACACGTTTGTATTAACATGAAATAAGGTTTTCGAATATCACATAAACGTGAATAGATGCCGGCTAAATAAAAGTACATAAGCGTATTTAAATGCAGAAAATTAAAGTAAGGTATGTTAGTAGGGAGCTACCCTTGAAATACACAGAGTAACAATACAGCATGCTTAAAGACTGATAATTATACTGTATTAAAATAAGGTAAATTGTTTTCAATTACGCTTTGTTGGGATAAGAATGACAGCTGGCACGTTATTTTCTATTAACAGAGGACAAACATACTACATTGGTCTAAGTGAGATCCAGAATGATCTGCAATGGTTAGACGGCGCGTCATTTTCTGGGATGTTTGATGTCTGGGGAAATCTGACACACATTCCTGATGGCTGTGCTTTCTATTATCATCAGTACCAATGGGAATGGGACATGTCAAACTGCAGTGTGTCGAGACCATACGTCTGTGAATTCTTGATAGCAAATATGTGTAAGTACTGCACAAAAAACTATGCTAGAGAACATCACCTTTGAAAAAGATTGATTGAGTATTGGCAAATAACGAATTAAACTGCACCATACGTTATAAATGCATTCTGATAGTTAAAACATGGAATGCAGGTAAGATCAGTTCTCGGGAAAAGAAAATAACAGGAGAAATATTTAAGGATTGTTTCTTATTTTCTGTAGCTGCATCGAATTGTATTTACATTGGGGTAAGTACAAATTGATTGGTGAGAATGCAACGCAAGTGTAAATATTTTTTTTATTATTAATATCAAACATTTGTTACGAGAATTCTTAAGATCAAAATGTATGTATATGATACGGAATATGTATCCAAAAACAGACGTCAAAGGAGATGGAGATAATGCAGATGTTACTCTACTGTAATTTGACTGATCCTATGTAACTGATCACAACAGGAAGCCAGCTTGTCATTCACTTAGACTAAGGTGCTAGTTTCCTCGGCATTCCCATGGCTTGAAATTATAATAACACGATCACCTACACGATTTTGTTAATTTAATATAGTAGATTAACTTTGCATAAGAGTTTAAAATGCCACAGGCTTATATCGATATAATCATACGTGGTGACCATTTCGATATGACAGAAATACTACCGTTTTGTCTGTATTTTTTATAAGAGTATTCCAAGTGCTGAATACGTAATCTTATCCATGAATACAGCAAACTTTTAGGATAAGTCCTCATAAGCTGTGACAGCTGATATTGTTCGAGATGATGCAGCAAAGGCTGAAATGTAGTTTTGTCTTGTTTTTGATTCATCATGCTAAAATTGCGTTTCCGTTTGGCATTACACGGTAATAGTAACGATATCATTACAAACGACACCTCATAAAATAGATAAAACGATTGAGCAAATACACAAATTTAATGACAAAAGTGACATGTCAACAAATGCACACTACACCCGGACGTCGTAAACAACCTGACGACAACGGAATGCATTGCAACAATCTATCTTTTTATGAATACAATAATGAGTCACGAAATTGGAGCTACATCCATTCCATACACAGAGAACACTTACACTTCCAGAACGCATGGTCTTGTAAACATTGCACTTTTATTTAATCTTTCTATTTACGTCACAATTTGTTAATATGTTGGAAGTGTTACGTTGTTCTTTAATTCAATAATCTCCATGTCACAATTATGTAAGTCCTCATTGTAAATCATAATTTGATATTGTACTCTAGTAGTGATATCATGTTCCATAGCGACGAACATAGGACTTTTTAATGGAATAGGGATTGAGGGCAGAGTAGAAATATACCATGACAACAGATGGGGAACAGTAACGCATCACAATCCTCCCGATTCTCTAGGAATAGTCATCTGTAACATGCTGGGACTAACGTAAGTTGTTAACACTATACATTTACAGCTTTTTCTTTTTTTTTCAGAATCTGAGAAAGAAGTATTTGTATGCTTCACATTTGTTAAGATTTGTTAAGATTCTTGTGTTGTTATCACATGACATGTCAAGAAAAATAATATTTTACTTTATTTTACTAGCCCTCGAAACAGCGATTCTTGAGTTATTTTCTAATTCTATATTAAATGTATTTAAATTACTACTTATTTGCACCAATCCTGTTCCGATTTGCTAGCTTCCCTCGTAAGAGTTCAGAGTTGTGTTCTGTTTCCTTGGGTAAGGTTTTTGCTGATGACCCAGTTTTATTGAATTCAAGTTTCGACAATGATTATGTTGATATGCTGATATTTCCTTTCTTTTAAATCAACTTTGATAACGTTGTCATTAAGTCGAACGTGGTTTAGAAGACAAAATATATCACAATACTATCCAATAATTCTAATAAAACAATCAGATTAGTAGATTTTAACGTGAGCTCCACAATATCGGATGGCACTGGACCAATCTGGCTTGATGGAGTGAACTGTAGCAGTTTGCCGGCGACTGTCGAAGAGTGTGCAAATCTAGAGAATTTACCATGGGGACCCATGACTTCCCTTCATACTGCGGATGTAAAAGTACGATGTGCAGGTGAGATTATACTCCAAATGGTATCCTTTTTATTGCCTTTGCCTATATAGCCCTCAAAATTCCTCCTGATACGAAAACACAATTTTAACAATAGTTTATATAATTCCCAAACTGACGATTGTTATAACTTTTTTTTACGATTCGCATTTGCACAACTGTTATCAAGTTTTACCTAATCACTCAAATATTTAATTCAAATCGTTTATTGCATTATCGAATACTTTCTGCCAAATATAGTTCTTTACGGACTTTACGTGAAGTAAAAAAGATAAAATACATGCATTTCTGTTATTATGGGGTTATTTAAACATGAAATGTAATATCAAATTCACATTGTTCGCGGTAAATCTCTCCTGTCCGTAATCCTTTTTTCAATTCAAAACAGATGTCAGTAATTGTTTAATTCTAAAGTTGGACAATATTTTCAAAGCGTTGTATACTAAGCTTGACTCCATCTTCTAGCTTATTAAGTGTCATTATCAGAATACTGGAATTGTAACCTTTTTATGTGTCTAATTTGCTTTATTTTCTTATCCCAAATACGTTGTAATAATAATAATAATAAAACAGTTGCATAAATTATAATTTTCTTTAATAACCTGTCATTAAGTGTTTCTGTTGCGAGTAAATTCACGTAAGGATAATCCGTTCCCGGGAACCATGGAATAATTTGAAACTTAGATTTTTACTTGGCTAATAATATATAAGACTCCTTTCATGACGTCATGAGATCGTTTCATAATCCCCTAGCCTGGTTGTTTTAACACATTACCAACACATGACATCAATGTTAAAAAAGAAGAATAACGTAAATTGATCAAACTTTGTGTAATCAGATTCTAATTTACAATGTATTGGTATTACTACAATTCACACCTGAAGTTCTTCCATCTCATTAAAATTTATATCATCAGCTTTTTCTGTGAGTAAATACATTTATCCATTCTTGTTCGCTAACGGTCCGATGTCGGAACGTTTTTAAATAACTACCCGAAGCATCAATTCAGATCTATATACACAGATCAGATAATCAGTGCTAGATATATGTTACTATCACTATAACTAGCGGCACAAAAACCAAATATTTAGTCTCTAAAATTACATTTAATGGTGCTATCTTCATTTTTTTCTGACTTAATGATACCTTTTCACAAGAATGATGTTAAAGAATGAAACTGGTACAAATGATTAAAATGGCAAATTATATAATATAGACTAAATAGAAAAAAAATGTTATGATGTAGGTCGTAAAAATGCAATGAAAAAACAAATTTCGGCGAGAGCCCTACACATGCATTTGTATTGTTCTTACTGAGAACTTTCTGAGTTGAAAACAATCAAATTACACACACACAAAGGCGATTAATAGTATTATCTTGTATACTGTTATAGCTGTAGTTTTCGAGGGAAGATTTTTAGATATTTGAATAAAACTGTGAAAATAGATACAGTATCAGGAAAGAGCATCAGAATTCATTCAATCGCTTCAGACAAAATCCATTCCGTGTGTTTGAAGCTTTCAATAAAACCAGGAAAGTTTCTACTTTTGAAAACAACTTTACGGAAATAATTGTTAAAATTTGTTATTGCGCTTATCACTTAAGATTTGATATTCTTTTTGTTGATTGTCGTAAAATGATAAAGAAAACAACGATGTTTATTTGGAAGACTTTATCATGTGATAAATTAAACATTGATTCTCCAACAACAAAACGACATTACAATAAACAAGGTTTTTTTTTTAATTTTCAGTACAGATTACAAGCACATCATCAGTTTGCATGTCACCAACAGCGACAACAACAATAGCGAATTCAATAACGGAAACGATTACGTCATTAAGCACAGAAACGGTAACCATGACGACCACAGAAATGCTACAAACAAGTCCACCATCACCAGGTAACTCGAGTTTGTTTTCTCCTTACGAATATCCATAAGTAACGTCTAATATTTCTAATGCCTGCACGACAGTAAATCATTGTTTTTAGTTTTGTAATTCTATTTTTTTTTCAGTACAAGCCAATAGTTCCTCATTAGTTTGCTTGGCAACGGTTACCATGACGACCACGGAAAAATTACAGCCAAGTAAATGTATACAGTCGACCACCGCAAATCTACAAACATACTCACCATCAGGTAAACATTGTGAGAACGGAGATATCCTCCTTACGAATATCTATAAGTAAAGTCTGATATTTCTGACGTCTGAACGGCAGTAAATCATTGTGTTTCCGTTAACGATTTCGTGAATCATGACGAAAATTACTTTTTATCTATCAGATTAATTTGCCAATGATCGATATAACAATTGCGCGGAATATCGATAAAAAATATGTTTTTATCTTTATCAAAATGTACGCTTTTTGTTTTCACTACAAAAATGTTAACTATAAAATCAACAATATTACCTTTAAATTCTAAACTTCAAGTTTCACATTTTAACTTCTTCAGCTTCAGAAATACTTAGTTTATAACCCGTTTGATTGAAAGTGATGTGTGTTTTGTGGTTGTCCTACAAGTTGGTTTTCCCAGGATGTAAAACCATTCTGTGTAGTTGCATCGACAGTAAAAGCTCCCGATTCTCATGTAAATATGTTGCATTTTTTTCAAAGATGTCCAACTCCATGTATTCTACTTAAATTAATTTTAATTGTTTACATAGAAGAACACAGAACATTGAAAATTTTCAAAAACTAACGTTTAGATATTAAATCATCAGAAACGGTTTTCCAAACAGGACATTGAAATTGATATCACAACATTCAAGTTTTATTTTCGTTTTGTAATTCTTTTTTTTTTCAGTGCAAATTATGAGTTCCTCATTAGCTTGCCTGGCTTCTACAACAACAACGACAACAACCATGACGGATTCAACGACGTACACGACAACGTCATCGGTCACCGAAACGGTTACCATGACGACCACGGAAAAATTACAGCCAAGTAAATGTATACAGTCGACCACCGCAAATCTACAAACACACTCGCCATCAGGTAAATCTTGTGAGAATGGAGATATTCTACTTGGGAATATCCATATGTAAAGTCTGATATTTCTGACGTCTGAATGGCGGTAAATCATTGTTTTCATTGTTTTTCATTATCACGATACAAATTATTTCATTCGAATTCATTTGTCAGAGATCGATAGGATGACTGCACGGAATAAATCGTTCAGTCCATGTTTTAAAAACAATTGGTACTTAATCTACAATTCGGAATACATCAGATAACTATTTTTGATGTTTGCTTGACTGCAAGTGTTATGTATTTTTATTGTTGCAGATACGTATTCTCTGAGTATACAACCATCTAGTGTTGTTTATGGGACTGTGAAACCTTCAGTGTCCAGTATAAAGGTATTAGAGACACCAAAATATTCAAAGAGGTCTAGCGCCATGTACTCCACTTTGACAAAGAAAGACAACAGACCATCTGCAGTTGCCATCGGAAGTTTCGGCGTCATCATACTTGTTAGTTTGATTGTAAGTGCACTTTTTCTCGACCTAATAACAATTGACAAAGAACGACGAGTTTTCGAAGGTGGTGGAGAGGCGCCAAAAGGGCATGATAGGCAAAGGCGTTCTCCGGACGGACGAGAATCCGTTGATAATGAACTATCAACATTTTCTGGAGCATCTTCCAATATCTCCGTGAACGAGTCGGATGATTTGCGAGATGCGGCAAGGATAAAAACAATAGAAACTGCTCAAATACATTCGACTACAAGAGGGTTGAAACTCGAAACGTTCGTTCTGAAGGAAGATTTGTTGGACATCCCTCGGACAAGCATCCCTCCAGATGAAGACACAGGGCACTTTGCGGCTTTTCCGAGTCGTCCTTTCATTGGTGATGTAATGGACATTCCGTCTCCATTCCCTTATACAGAATCCGGCAATGAGATCAACTCAGATGCAGCTAATATGCAAGTGCCCCGGGGTACAAATTACAGAGAAGTTATTCCTTGTACACCGTCAGCAGAGGAGTTGTACAATATTTAGTTTAGACTTGCATATAGAATGCTACCATGAACATTAAAATGTTTTCATAATACATTTATTTTTACCACCGAAAATACTTTGATAATTCATTATGATGATGACAATAAACGGCTTTCCAAATTTCTAGAGAGGCAAAATACTTATCCTGTTTACACAGCCTACAGGTTGTAGGAGCTCTGATCCATGATACAACTTACGTTTTGTTTTCAACGATTTCTTCGTTGTAGAATTTTCAATCGAGTTAATGTAAGCAAAATGGACCAAACATTTGACTAAGTTTAATTCATTATCTAGCTCTACTGTATCTAATTCCGTCTTTCTTACAATCCTCTAGATTGCAGGTGATAGACACTGCTGATGGACGTTTAGTCCCGTAGGTATGGCGTAACCTGCATGTTTCGAATTTCAACACGATTAAGAATAAACATATACACATATATATCAGATATATAAAAGCACAAATTTGATTGAATTATGGGCCTAGTTCGCCATCTTGTCTTCATTTCGACATTTCTTTTGATCACTTTTCATTTTTCTCATTCTCAGGACGAAATTGCTGTATGATGCAGTTAAATGCAACTGTATCTTACACTAAATCTGTGTATTTTGTACAATATTAGAAATCTTGTGCCTAATATTGAATGCTGGAGAACTTAATACCGTCAATTTTGTTACAATAGTATTAGGCGATGTATTTCATATTGGACTTAAGGTCCAAAAAATCAAATAACGCGAAAACAGTATTTCAGTAACATATCAACTCCACCTTGACAAAATTTAACAAAATGAGAAACATGAGTGAATTTGAAAGTCGGTTTATATAATAAAAGCCTAGTTGAAGTTATTTTGCTTACATCTTTTTATCTTTATTTCTTGGGTCGTAAACCTCAGACAAATGTAATATGTATGTCTTATTAATAACGAAAAATAATGACAGGCCAAAAACTGGGAATCAGAGATGACGTACTCGTCAGGTCAGATTAAACCTACATATGTATATTATACTCAACAAAACAAGAAACGCACAATTAAATTATGCAATCAATAGCCTATGATATTTTGGGAATTTTGTACAAAATTTCATATCAGTATGAAGGGAAAAGTCTACTTTTTACAATATTGGAGAAGAAAAGTCTGTGTGACGTCACTCGTGTCGTCAGTAGTTACTCAACTCGTGTCGTCAGTAGTTACTCAACTCGTGTCGTCAGTAGTTACTCAAAGTGGGATACCTGTGAAAAACAAATGACACTTCAGTACCTGGTGTGGGCACCTCTTGCACGAATCCCTGCACAGAGTCTCCTATGCATTGAATTCATGAGAACATTAATTCGCCTTAGAGAATGTTGTTCCATTCTTGTGTTAATACTGCGATCAACTGGGCATGGTTAGTTGGGGTTTTGAATTTTTCCTTGTACACTTGTTTAGCGCATCCGACAGATGAACCTTGAACTACAACATTTTATGTAGTGATTACCTCCCTTTCACCTGTGTTTCGGTTAACTAAGCAGTAAATAACAACATATCTCGCATATTGATATTCCGAATTTTTCATATATTTTTCTTTTCTTCAAATGGATCGTAGTTTTTACCATACAAACATATAATTACTAAGAATAAGATCGTGGACGGTTTTTTAATCTGATTGATATTAACATGTATTTATACTGACAGTAGCTGATCATTATCACGTCAACAAATGAAAACTTGGATCTGAACACCACAGCTGGAATGATTTCTCTTGTAAGATACTTTCATTAATAACATACCTTAGAGTAAAGCAGGGTTTAATAATTTAACAAAATAAATAAATAAATTTGGTGATGGTAATATAGACGTACAAAGATTGTACAAAACATACAAGAGAACAATGTAATGAATTTAACTACATCATACAGCTGTGTCGTCCTTCTAGGACTCATCATACAGCTGTGTCGTCCTTCTAGGACTCATTAGTGGTGCTACATCATACAGCTGTGTCGTCCTTCTAGGACTCATTAGTGGTGCTACATCATACAGCTGTGTCGTCCTTCTAGGACTCGTCAGTGATGCTACATCATACAGCTGTGTCGTCCTTCTAGGACTCATTAGTGGTGTCCTTCTAGGACTCATTAGTGGTGCTACATCATACAGCTGTGTCGTCCTTCTAGGACTCGTCAGTGATGCTACATCATACAGCTGTGTCGTCCTTCTAGGACTCATTAGTGGTGCTACATCATACAGCTGTGTCGTCCTTCTAGGACTCGTCAGTGATGCCACATCATACAGCTGTTTCCTCCTCCTAGGATTCGTCAGTGATGCTACATCATACAGCTGTGTCGTTCTTCTAGGACTCGTCAGTGATGCTACATCATACAGCCGTGTCGTCCTTCTAGGACTAATTGTCGGTAATGAGGCGAGGGATAAATATTAAAATTTGTCAAAAAATATCAAAAACAATGTAAGTATGTACTCTAGTCCTGCAATTACTACATTAAGAGTGAACGCAAAGTTCATGTGTACCTTTGAAACCCACCGGTAGACAAAACCAGTTAAAACTTTACATCCACTTGCCATCTCAAAAGACACATCAGTGAACATTTTTAAACAAAGATTTATAATTGAATACAACATCATACAGCTGTTACATCTCTCCTGGCACTCGTCAATAATGCTAAGACTCTTTAAATGTTTAAAGCTTGGAGGCGACAGGGGAAAATCATAGTAGATCGAAACAATGTCAAAAAAGTCATTCGTTGAACTAAGATGGGAAATTAACAAGTGAGAGTAAACAAAAGCAGCAGTGGACAAACGTTACGTTCAGACCTTAATACCAAATACTAGTATCAGATTTGTTGATTTTGCTTCAACATTTCTGTAGACATTGACACCGTGTCTCGATGTCTACATAAAACCGTGATGTAGCAGCAAGGACCTAATCTAACTTTGCCTCCAAATGACGTCTTCATAACATTATATTACATTTGAAAATCAGTTTTGTCGGAGATGTCTTAGTGCACACTTTTTTCTACTTCATGAACCTGTATAAAATTCCTGGCGATAAGGAATTATTTTTTAACGTATTGCTTTCTTTCTGATCATAAAAAGATAAACATGAGCAGTTTACCAAACTGATTTGTTAATCAATGCTGTACAAGTAAATGCTAATCGTTAAGTATACAAGCATTTGATTCAAGTTAACATCCATGACAAAAACAAATGGAGACATTCTAGTCCTCGCTAATACATATGTAAATGCAGAAACCTATCGAGACTGTTATATAATGCAATAGAAGTATATATCTGTTTACTATGATTGAACCAAATCGATATACAAGAACATGCGATAATGTCAAAAAACGCACAAATCCACCACTTTAAGCTAGACTTTCTAAGTTGCTCTGGGATCTTGAATTGGGTCATTGTGCAAACATGCGTGGAGGTGGTAGAACTTCATGTCGTGTTTTAATGTAAGGCCGTCACTAATATGTATATCTTGGGTATGTGGAGGTGGTAGTGTAAGGCCTCCTCTGTTCAGTAAGACATTGATGTATGCAGTTGGTAGGAATTCATGTTATCTTCTTAAAGAAGGCCTCTTCAGTCCAATAAGGCTGGTCTGTAAGGAGGTGATGGATATCTATGTCATCTTTTTGCTGCAAATCCATCCTCTATTTCATCAGACTTGGATATTGAATTCTGCAATGTCACGTTGAGATAGTAGATCTTCATGCCATCTTTAAACTGTAAGGCCTCCTCTGTAAAACGTAAAACTTTGATATATGGAGATGAGCTTCCTGTATTTTTTAACTTGGAGGCCTCCTCTATTATTTATGTTTGGGATATATGGATATGTGTTAATTAAATGTAGGAGATAGATAGATGGTAGAACTTCATGTCATCTGTTTAATAGGAGTCCTTGAGGTGGTAAAACTTTATGTTAAACCTCCCCAATTAAGTAAGTCCATGACATATGGGGGTGGTTGGTCTTCATGTTATCTTCTTATGTAAGACCTCCTCTGTTATTTAAACCTTTGATGATGGTAGAACTGCCCCTCATCCTTTAACTTGAAGGCATCTTCTATTAAGGGTGTCTGGGATATGTAGAGATGGTAAAAGATGTCATCTTCTTACTGTAAAGCCTCTTCTTTTGTGTAAATGTAGGGAATATGGAGGTGTTAGAATTTCATGTCATATATCTAATGTAAAGAGTTCTCTGTTAAGTAAGTCTGGGATATATTAAGGTGGAAGAGTTTCGTCTTTTCACTGTAAAGTCTCCTCTGTTAAGAAGGCCTTTAATATATGGAGGTGGTAGGACTTCGTGTCAGCTAAGTAAGTCCTGGATTGATGGAGGTGGAAGAACTCCATGTGATCTTTCTAATAAAAGGTCTTTCTTGTTATTCAAATGATGGAGATACCGGGAGACCCTTGACTCCACAATTACAGAGTTATGATCCTTTGTTAAAATTTTGTGTTCAATAAAGTCGTTTTTCGGTAAGCATTCATCAATTTCACTGATACTCTTGTATTCCACAGAGGATGATGGACCTAAGATTTAGTGATAAGTGATTCAATACGGGGTATTACTTTTGAGTAATATTGAAAGAAAATAGAAGTAGTTCAATGCAAATGTGATATCATCACATAAAAAAGTACATTTCGATACGTTCATTAAACAGGTGTGACCGTTTTAATCATCAACGACAGCGATGACGTCAATTCATGCTTTATCTTTCTCGAGAAAAAGAGCGATTATCAAGTGAAACGATTTCTCATCATTCCGATAGTAATGTCTTTAGATCCAGATCAGCTCTCTGTTGAACAAATTTCCATTTCACATAAATTGTATAAATAGTGTAAAGGAAGGTATTTTTGTAAAGTCACTTTTTTCATAGCGGTAAAAGACTGTCACCATATATACTGTACTTGTGCTGAATGTTCTCGAACAGTCAGGTTTTTGACGCGATGACTAAATACACACAGTGTACAGTGTTACCATGCCTATGTTGTAAAGGTTCAGACCAATG